GTGAACTATGTGCCATCTACTTGTGCTCCAAATTGTCATCGTTTTTTGGAGATTCATGGATTTTGTTGCAAAAAGGTCGTGCAGCGACATCGCCAAACACTCCAGGGCATTCATTCAGAAGAACTTCAACTGTACGCAGCCTCTTGGCTCAATGTCTGCCACTTGTTTTCAACCTTTAGAAGTTAAGTACAGTATGTACAGTGCACGTCTGTTGCTAAGGGTGGGGGCCGACATCTTTACAAAGAAGGTCAAATGGCTTCACAAGAAGGCTCCGCTACTTTGAAGGGTGTTGAAAACTCAGTTGTCAACCACTTATGTTGAACCCAACATTATCTTGTTGCAGGTGGCCCTTTATACAGCCGGCTTTCCTTGCACGCCTTACTCGACCCTCCACTGGAAGAGCGCCGGCTTGCAAGACATAAATGCACAACAATTATGGAAAGTCATCAGCAACATCAAGGTTACGGAACCCGCAGACGCTTGGCTCATCTCTGCTTCTTTGTTTTTCTAGTTTGGCCAGCCACGTGCCAATGATCTTCATTGGACAGCCTGCAACTTGAGGCAGTGATACTCGAAAACGTCATTGGCTTCAAGAAGCACCTGCAAATCTTAAACGCAGTCCTTGACCGGAATTGTCCAGAGTCCCATGTCTGCAACATAGTGTAAATATTGTCTTGCAGTCTGATGTTGATTGAACTTTGCAGGTAAAATCACAAAACATTGTTTTTCACTCTGAGTTACTCTCATGTCTGGGTGGTGTTGAACCCGTGTCTTTGCAGCACTCAGCAGAAACAATATCAAACAATCCAAGAACTCCGGGATCACCAAACTCACACCCAGGAAAAGCTTTGGAGCTCCACTCAGTCGCCGCCGCTTGTACCTGGTCATGGTGCGCACGGAGCTGATGAGTGATGAAGCCTACAATGGACCTTTCTATGAGTTTGTGCAGAAGTTCTTCAGGTCCATGCACACCCGATCCACCGTTAAATGGACTCTTGACGGCAAGTTGTACCAACAAGGCTACACAAAAGAGTGGCCTTCCTAGTTCTTTCCCGAGGACAGACCTTTTGCTTCCAGAAGACCACCCGTCCGTGAAGAGGAACAAAGCAAATCGTAAACGAAGACAAATGTCCCAAGCCGAGAGGTGTCTTGGCAAAAGCTGCATGTCTGCATGTCCGTTTAGAGTTTAGAGTTTGTTTGAACTTTTGTTTGAACCTCAGGCCACTCAACAGGGGTGCAAAGTGGATTCTTCGCCACCGACTTTGGGCCAAGGAGCATAAGGCTCCTTGGAACATGTTTTGAAGTGTTACCTTTGCCCTCATGTTCTTGGCAAGGTTGGAATCCGCAGCTCCCGTGGCGCCTTCAGAAAGAAGTTTCCGAAGGCGGCTAACTATGTGACCACCTACCGCGAGATGGAGGCTCTGTCTTGAATTGTGGACTGAATTGAAGCAGAATAAATATGCATCAGAAACCACCTTGCCCTGGAAAGGCGTTGGATTTGATCACAGCCATGAACGAGGGGAAGTTCGTGGCCAACACTTCTCAAAACCTTCATTGCATGCCAGTGAATCCAGAACATGCTCCTTTGATGACGCTGACGTCAGCCACTTATATGTTTTTCCGAACCAGTGCCACTCCGAGTTTGGTAGGAACGTGTGACCTTTACATATTGTCTGTCTGCCAAGGCCTAGTGGAGCCTTTATGTGCACGGGCCGGCAACGCTATTTGGTGGGCGAGGAAATCATGATGCTTATGGGCATGCCATTGCATCGCTATTCCACAAGTGGGCTGAGCAATAATGAGACCGATCTTAAGCCATGCTCTTTGCAAGTATGTTAGTCGTATGTTGAAACCTATCCCACTTGGCCATGTGAGATATTCTCATTGTCTTGGGACTTGTCTTGGGGCTATAAGACAAACAGAATTGTGAGAATCCAAGGAATTGCATTCGCTGGGTGGCAACGCCATGCATGTCCGGACTATCACAGCAGCCATCTGCTGCGCCCTGCGTTGCCTGGACCCTGAGAGGCTTGAGGAATATTTGAGATGAGGTGAAGGCAACTTTTGCAGAACCTCGCTAATTCGGTTTAGCGCCAATTCGGATTGAGTGGTTTTGCTACTCTCATGAACTGGAAAACAATCGAACACCTTTGAGCCCTTTTTGAAAGCTTCGGGGACACCTGGAATCTTTGCGCTTGCTTCAGCATTCCATTGCACAGTTTCCTGCGGTTTCCTGTGAGTTCTTTCTATGTCTCAAGAACAAGTTTCCAGTGCTGTTTTTACATTCAGATTCAAAAACAAACAACATCAGAACAGAGTATGACCACTAAGACACTGCCACTGCTCGGTTCCGCATTCCTCCCATCGATGCCTGTGCTCCAAAGATGGGATTCCAACAGCTCCTGCACAGAGCCAGCGGTTGGTCTGCAAAGGTATGATGCCGATGATAGCTCTGAGCCCTTGGTCTTCAACAGAAACAAGCATGTAGAGCTACCTTGTAAAATGCTAAACCACATGCCATTGTTGGCGATTTCACCATTCTGAGGTCTGGATCTTCGGGGACATCGTTAAGTGATGATGAGAGCAGTGATGATGAGGAGGCCCCTGCCAAGGTTGGAGTCATATCCTTAGACACTAGCATGCTGGAATCCTTGCATGCCCTGGGGTCCTTGGAAGAGAAGAATGTGTCTTCTTTTGGGGCGCAGGGCCAATCACACGAAAGAATGCGGAGGGCCTTGCAAGGACACAAGTGTGAGTGTGGGTGTACCATGCCCTTCAACGACCTAGCCAAAGTGTGCCGCTGCTTTTGGGCATTGCCCAAACGAGCCCAAGATGGGGTGCTCTGGTCTATGCAAACGTCTACCACAGCAAGAAGAAATGAGTGGGTTCTCCAAGGACCGTTCTTTCACAAGAGATGCGTCTCCTGCTTGGTTGCCATTGAATCGCCTTGACCATCAGGACATCGCCTATGCAGGTCAGCATGGAGCCGGTTCTTGGGGGTCGGAGAGGAACGGTTGCAGCGGTGCAAACGGGCGCACCATGGCCTAGATGAGAGAACCCTTGGTGGACGCTCAACTGAAATAAGTCAAAGATGAAAAGCATCGCAAAAACAGAACTGGTGGGAGCCAGCCTCCGGGCATTCTGAGGATGCGCGCCACGTCCAGCTCTGAAGTACGCCTCCGTGAAGGCATTCATGATGCATTTATACTGGAGCGCTGGGGAGTCCATGACAACGTCGCAACTCGGCTTTAACAAGCACACAGGTTTGGTTTGAGTGTGGCCAGGTTGAAAGCTTATCAATCTTATCAACATGAGTTGAGGATAGCGCCCAAGCAGTTAATGGAAGACAGCGATGAGCAAATTAGGGAGGATCTTCTTCAAAAATTGGTGGACGCCCGCCTCATGGGCCCAACATCTCAAATAGTGCTCAATGCCGAGCCTGCGAAGCTTCCGATGCGGGAAGTTGGTCATGGATCCTATGCAACTTTGTACCTCCTTTACCTGGCATATAGTAGAACAATGTCAGAGTCACCGGCCTCGAGAGCATTATTCTACGAAGCAGCCGGTGAATGGAGAACATGCCTCAAGTTTACCAAAAAAACGGTACATCAAGTATGCTACACGTGCTCAAAAATCAAATCTAGAATCAAGAACGCTGCTGAATCTTGAACGCATAAAAGGAACCCAATTTGATGATATCTACAAGATGTGTACGATGGAAACCTAGCAGAAAGTGAACGCCCCTACTAACATTACAACATATTACAACTAAGGACTTCCAAGAGCACATCCGCTGGTGTGACCAGCTGTTGGGACACTTCTCCCAGCAGTGGAAAGACCGCCAGACGTACTGGATGGCCAGAGATCGAAGTAGAAAATGCTCCGACATGGTCACCATCATCATCGACTCTTACGACAAAGCAAAAATGTGTTTACCCAAGTGGCCATGTGGTGGTCGAACTCCAAAGTCCCAAGTCTACGAAATCGTGAAGCGCACCATGCCTTTCATTGGACCACGACCTTCAAAATACTTGAAACTGCAAACTGAACTTTGACTTATGCTTGGGATTGGCCAAGGTACATCGCTCACTCTTACGGCATGCTTGGTTCACGGATACGGTGCATATTTTTATATCGGCGATGAGGGGCTACCAACTGGAGCGAATTGGTGCTTGGAACTTGTGACTTGTCTTGAAACTCTGACTGGTCCAGATTGAAGAACGGCCCTCTATGACTGATTTGATTCTGAGGTAATGAAGGCATTGGACAATGCATATGTGCTTGCCCGCAAGAGGGGGTGCAATCTCCCCAAAGAGTCTGTTTCTAAGTCTTCTGATGCCTCTTAAACGGTTTGCGCTTTCTGATTTTGACAACAATAAAACCATTGCCAAGGATTTGGCTGCAGGGAGATAATACTGTCAAAGAACTTCGCCAATCTCTCACTGGCAAATTGGCATCGCTGATGACTTCTGCAGGGTTCGCCGACGTCATGTCCCACCAGCATTTGCTGGTGGGACATACTCATGAGGACGTAGGTGGGAAGATCCTTGATGGTTTTTGAATCACGTGCCGACTATGTCCCCGTTTGCTTCTCATCAGCCCCGGCCTCCAGATGGTGCTCTGGCGTTGGTGGGGAGTGCCCTGGCTTCGGAGCCGAATCTGCAAACGCCACAGGACATTGTCAGGACTGGTTCTCTCAGCCATAATGAGTTCATTGACATTACTTTTGCATGGATAGTACCTGGATGACTCTAGATTGGAGCATTACCCCAGGACTTTGGAAAAGAAACTCAGCAAGGTCTTCAACAAGCATGGCATGGAGTTCAAGTGTGAACACATAGACACAGTCTCTTGCTTCTGATTCTGTGACATGAAGTGAAGTGTGTCCTGAACAGCCTACGATATTGATCCTCTAAGGTTCGCAATTGGCACGAGCTAATGCCACATGTGGCCAGTCTGAAGAATGCCTACAGGGACCGGCCACCTCCTCGTCGCAGACGTGAAGATGATGATGAGGAAGAGCCTGCTGAGATGAAGGTGCCACAATCATTCACTTTCATGAGACGAGAAGGCCAGTTCATTGCATGATATTGCATGTTTTATATTGATGTTCCGTAGTGTTCCAAAAAAAAGATGGCGTGACATGCCCGCATGAGCCACGCCAGTTCTTCCGGGAGAAGGTGATGGAATGGTTATTGAGGAGACAGTACCCCGAAGACTCCGCCAAGCTGGCCGATCTAGAGATGTGGTGGCTTTGGTGAAGCAATACATGAGCGATGACCGACTGTCCCAACCACCACTGATTGTTTGGCCGCAATCCGCTTTGGGAATCACGGAGGCGTTTTGGCAGACCGTGAACTCAACCAATTTGGTGGTCCAACAAAGTTTGGAGGAGGAACGGCAATCTGATTTAGAGAAGTTGGCTAAAGCCATGTCCCAAGATTTTCCTCATCTTGGCCGTGCTGTCACATACTATCATGGCCTTTGGAATCCAAACAGGCGCAGGAAACCATTTCAGCGCCTGCAGTTCATTGCAGATGGGCCACCCCCTCCGAATGGGGTCGCTCATGTACAGCTGGGGGAGCGCCCGTTGCCGCCACGACCTCATGCCCTTCAGGTGGTATACCACCACGGCCCGAGGCGGTGAAGTGTCTTGGGAGCGATGCAGGGTTGTTGCATTGCAGGAAAAGACATGAAGAAACGCACTATGAAGTTTCATTGCCACCCTGACCTTTGATTGCAACCTTTTGAACACCTGTGAAACACTGAATCAGCATGATATCTTGCAGAAGACCTGGCTGAGCTAGATAGCTTTGCCCCCGTCCGCAATGGTTGATTTTGCTTGGGATGACCCTATCGTGGAAAAGGTCTGTTTGCAGTTTGATGCAGTCATTCACTCAGTGGAAGAAAGTAACACACCCATCATGCGCAAAGAATGCAAAACAAACTGCTTCGTTTGGATGACACTTGGTCAGCTACTGCAAGGTGATCGAGAAGTCTAATTTTGGTGACTTCATTTCCGAGACCTTCCCGACAACCAGGGACATGACCCAGGCCTGTCCAAAGCAATGCAAATGCACCAAACCCACGACGTCACGATGCCAACCAGAGCCTAGGCTGTGAGATACTATGTGGAAAGAATGGGCTCCGAGGTGGGAAGGCCGATTCTGTCACTGGCACCGACGACCAGTATGTCCGAGTTCTGGTTGGAGCTCATCAGCTTTGACCATACCAAGCACTCGAAGAATGGATGTGGGGGGCTGTTTAAATGATGCAGTTTGTTACATTGGCACATGTTGAACTAATGTCTTTGGTTTATGGAGTTTACAATGTATTTGGCCCCTGCAGTCTTCCCAACAAATGCTCAGTTTGCTTCGCACTTCAAAGAGTTCATCCTTGGATATCGCCCCACTGAATCAGTGGAATGCAAGTTCCCACACTGTGGCGCCACAAGGGTCATTGAAGAGGGTTCAGTGGGGGTGGTCGACGGCTTCCTGAAGATCCTGACGATGATTGGGGTCTGTGCCATCCTGCATTTTTTGGTGTCTTGGCAGACTCGGCACTGAATCTGCGTGTTAAATGTCGTAAGAGTAAGCATGAAAAGTCGCAGTAGGTTGCTTCCAACCCAGGAAGTGACGCTCAGTGGACTGGAGGGCTCACCACTGTATGCAACTTTGGGGACCTATCAATGGGTGAGATGCTCATACACCCATTTTTCTTCGCCAACCATGTTCTGCCTCCATGCTTTGAGCGACTAGGCACCAACTTGAAAAATAAGGCTGTTCACTTCACTCACTCCTGATTCCTGATGTGAACTGAGAACTGGGCCATGTGACCTCGGAGAAGCAATCACCAAGCGCCATCGACTTCCTAGCAACAATGCAGGAGGCTGTGCAGCTGGAGAAGCGGTTGGCTTCCAAGACTTCATCTAGCAAGGCGTTGAAGGACCTGTTGAATTCTTCGATTGCCCAGTACAACAAGTTGGTGACGAAGAAGGAGCATCGCATTGATGGGCGGAAAAAAATCATGGTGTATAACCTGCCGCTTGGCCAATTTTTGGGCATGATCTCATTGAAACTGGTAAGCGCACCCTGTTTGTTGTGATTGGGCTGAGGCTGAGAGCTCCCACTGGCTTTCATCAGTTGCTACATCGACATTACGATGACTACCCCCATCACCTGTCAGGCCACTTGGCTCTGAATAGCACTTTCTTGCTCCAGACTTTGTCAACAAATATTATTCTGCGGAGCGGTTGTGCCAGGTATGCCCCTGGACGTCTTGGGCAACGATTTTTGGGTTCCAGGGTCTTCGGCCAGGAAGGATCTCCCAAAGTTCAAGGCTGACATCTTTCAAGAGATGTTCACATGCACCGAAGAGACATGCATGCTGTATGGGCTTCGTGCGACCCAGGACCTAAAGTGACTCCACCTCAGACCTTTTGTATAAGTTAAGTGGCACAGTCAGTGCACGCACTTTCCCATGCTAGGATTTCACCAAACGCGCTTCAAAAGATGCCTCAACAAAGGCCAAGGTTGGGGGTGGCCCAAAAGTATGTGTCCCAATTCAACGCTTGCAAGTGTCACAACCCTGTAGAAAGCAGCTCAGCTGGATGATGATGGCCACACACTACTCCACGACGTATGCTGCGCATGGGTATGGTTGAAGCCCAAGCTTGAAAATGCCTTCCCCAACGAAATCATCGACAAGCACACCGACCTCTTCCACAAAGGGTTTCTTGGCATTCTTTCAGCGTGCCTCCAGGGCAGTTGGCTGGCGCCAAATTGAACTTTCAAATTGTGATTGGTTGGCTGGCGCCGAATTGAACTTTCAAATTGTGATTGGTTGGCTGGCGCCGAATGGAACATTCAAATTGTGATTTGTTTCGCAGAAACCCCGTCACAATCTAGCCTTCGGGTTCGGCTGGCGCCAAAATATTTAAAAAAAAGTTAAAAAATAAAAAAAATAAAACCAATCACAATCCCTGCAAGATCCATAGATTGGTAACTTGATGGGATGCGGGAGAAACCAATCACAAATTTCAATAGCCCTTATTAGAGCAAATCATTTTGCAAGTATTGTTTTGTTGGTTTCCTTGTGATTGGGTCTTTGTATCACCAATATGATTTGTGATCTGGTCCTCCGACACTAGATCACAATCTAGATATGGATTTCCAATGTCAGAGTGTGATTGGTTCTTTAGATTTTTTATTTTTCCATTTTTTTTAAATAGAATATTTTCAATTGTATATCCATTGCAAGCAAGGCTTCTGGACAACGATCTGGGTGCAGTGGTCAAAGCTGGGGAGTCTTTTGACTGGCAAAGGATCAACTTCGTGCTCGAGGACAGATACTTGGCACCCTTTCCACAGCACACGGCTTGACATCTTTTTTTGCCTCCCTCGATTTGCAACATGTTCACCGCAAACATGTATATACAATATGTTTACATTCCCAATGAGCCCATAGCACCAGGTTCTTTTTGTTGGAGGTGTTCATATCAATCCACCCTGCATCCCATCTGCATCCCCGTCAGATCCGCGGAACCACGGTTGAAGACTTTGTCAGCCAATCCCAAAGCCTGACACGGAATGCTCTGAATTCTTCACTTCTTGCGGCCTTTCGGGCATGGAAGCAACAACTGGAAGCAGATCAAATGACTTTCGAGTCTGACAAGATCTCGACACTAGACCTGTTTGTGAAATTTCATGAAATTTCATAGCAGTGGCAGTGACTTACAAGAAAACCCTTGTTTAAATCGCCTTCTTATAGATCGCCTTCTTCTATCTTCTGGCTTCTTTTTCCACCGTTGGCCTGTTGCATCCGAGGACGGAGAGAGAATCAGCAAAAAAGCGGACCCAATTGGTCAAGAAATTGGAGGACTCATGCAAATATGGTTCCCATTCTCAGTGCACATCCGCTGAAACAAACTCTCCAATATGTGAAGTGGTACTTGTTTGGTTGTTCATCTATGCTCACCTCATACGGATCTCAATGTTTGGTAGGGAGAAATAATCATTCACATTGTTCAGGATTGCCATACAAAGGCATGGGCTATGGTAATGGAATACCTCGAAAGCAACCTCAAGGTGTTCACTGCGAAGTCGGATTGCGCTGACAGCACAGTCATGCCAGCCGTATTCACATGGATTGCAGAATCATTGAACGAGATTGCCGAGGTCAAGTCGCATGAAGATCATGCAGTTTGCGCGTGGTTGTGCCTGCCCACTTGCGGAATCCTCTCCGCACAGAAGTCTGATTTCTTTGTCACGTTTATATCCAATTTCCTTGCGGCTCATCGCCGGAATGGTTTGGTCTTGCTGGTCCATCCAAATCGGGCGGCCCAGCTGAGTGGTGGGAGGACTGGTCTATGATGGTCTATGGAAAAGATTGGCAATGGTAGGACATGTTGGTTTTTACCTTGGTTCGGATTCAACCACTAGTGTTCTTTTGGAGGACCAAGACGGAAAAGGTGGAAAAATCTGAGGGGGATGTAAAGATGGAGAGCAAAGAAGAGGACTCCAGCATGGACAGCGATGCGGACGAGGATGAGGAGGGCGATGGCGAGATCAAAGAAGATGCTGAAGTCCGCGATGTGAGGTACAATTTGGAGTTGCTTCGACTAAGAATTGAATCTAAAACATGTTTTAGCTTTTTTTGTATTTGAATCAGTTCGTTCAAACTCGTTCAAGAACACATGGACAGCAGGTAGGTTGTGAAAAACTATTCTGGCTCGTTCTAAGGAAGCTGCTCACACAGAAGGACCGCAACCTTTCTGTCAGGAACATCAACTGGATCTTCAACCCTGCAACTTGGCATAGGTTTTGGAGTTTTGCCAACATACCAACTGCGGGTTGACTCACACTGACAAATACCACGTTGATTTCACATTCATACCAAGACTGGTCTATGATGGTCTATCGGGTATTTTGATGTCAAAATCAAATCAAAAGGTTTCATGGGCTGGTTAGGGAACCCCTTCAAGTCAGTCTTATTCAATCGTTTGTCAACTGCACCTGATCCGTCAGGGCTCCGTGTACGGGAAAAGAGATGGCTATTTGGCTGGGCTGGCAGTGACCAGCAGCACAAAGAACAACATCTTCAAGAACACCAAGGGCTGGAAATCGGGCGCCATCCATGGAGTGGAGATGCTTCCGCGGGGCTCGATGCAAAAGCCTCCTGAAGTGTCTTGCAATGCAATATGACCCACTTGGTGGCATGACTTTGCTGATCTCGAATCAAGTTCCCTCATCTGCGCCTTGTCACTCTGTTTCTCAAGGCTCCAAAATCGGCCAAGCCGCATCTAGGGCGGGCCATGACTGATGTCCAGGAGCTGAAGCAAGTGCCATGTCTTGAATAATGTCACATGTTTCAATCATCAAGAGTACCATCAAGCACTCAGTTGGTGCCAAGTGAAGTCCATGTGAAAAATGTTGTCAATCCAATGTCGTTGTGCAAGGTTGCAGGTGGCACATCGATCATCCACACTTCTTTGGAAAGCTTCCTGCCCAAAACGGTGGCCACGGTGGTGTTGATTGATTGTCATGCATACGATGCTTGGCCAGGCTTGGCAACCTTGGAGGCCAGCAAGGGTGATCCCAAGGTTCTGTGAGTTTGAGGGCGCCATAGGATGCGTCGGACTTTCTGAAGTAAGAATCCTTTTTTCTGAATACTAACCGTAGATTGTCCAACGTAAGGGCGCAGGATGCGTCCCTTTGACTTGGTCAGGCAGCATCACAAGGGACGCGGATGATCTGCGGCACAATCTGCTTGGATATTGGAAGCGAGGCCATTACAAAGAAGCTTGCATCTCGCATCTACGAGGATGCTCGCAGCGGTGCGCTGGAGCTGCCTAATTTTCCGCAGTTTGCCCCTCTGGTGGCAGCAATGAAGGATGATGTCAAAGCAACCTCCCACCGTGAGTATCATGTGTGTGTGCAGCGCCAAAGTGCCCTGGCCATCCTGGAAAGCTACGCCTCGAAGTTTATGGATTCATCCGTGACAAAGGATGAAGCTGTCGCTGCAATTGAAGCCCACAATGAAAAGTACAACCCCGATGGTGAGTTTTGGGTGGAGACCGCCAGGACTGGATCAGGGGTTTTGTAAGAGGTACAGCACTGCCAAGAGTATCAAACTAATGGTACCCCCAAAAATCTAACATCGTTCATGGCCACACCACTCGCCACATCACTCCCAGCCCCCACCTTCTCGAGGAGCACTGCTGCCGCCGAGAGTGAAGCTGATCGGCCTTCCAAGAAGATCCGGATTGATACAACAAACCAGTACACTGAGAAGGATATTGCCACCTTGAAGAACCCGTGACTTTGCAATGTATTTAGCCGTTTAGTGGTTCTTTCTAACCAATTTGTTACTGTGTACCCTACCTCAAATCACGTAGGATATCAGGGCAAGGAATGTGTTCCTACCATGGTCCGAGGCAGAGTTTCCAGGTGAACAATGCTGTGGAGCTATTCACCAATGAGGATGGCGATGTGGTCTATCTGGTGGCAAAGGGGAAAGTAAACTTCAGCGCGGACCGTGAAATGTGTCTTGGTTATTGATTGAATCAATCTGCAACATTTCACCCTTGACCAATTACAATCTCCTTCGCTCTAGCCCTTCCAGCCAGAAAACGCCAACATCGATCTCCATACTCCTGCTCAGGTTTAGTTTTGGATCCGGAGATTGGAGGGATGGAAGTGAGCCTTGAATCAAATTCACATACTATGAGCCACGAGCCACAAAGTTATCTTTTTTGATGTCCTCAGATGTCCTCTGTGTTTCCTTTGCGTTCCTTTGGATCCAATGGGACATCACAAAAAGGAGGCGAAAGAAGTCATGGAAGATGCGGGGGGCAGATGGTATTCCTTTGCATTGACCAAAGCCACGCCCATCTTGCTCGAGAAGAAAGACTTGGGGGACCATTTGAAGGAGCTGCCATGCGCTGACAATGTTGTCCCCCTGTCATCCGTTTGGGCGCAATTGGAAGATGCTGGAGAGGCATGGTGTCAGTCTCCTAACACGTTTGCATCCACACCGTCCACCCTTCACAAAGAAATACAACTAACGAACTGGCGCAAATCTCTGAGAAGGAAAACAAGGTCAGTGAAAAGAACAAACGGATTTTGTGGGAGCAGAACCCCGCACGTTTTGGCCCTTGCAACTTCCCGTGCAGGTCAAAGCAACGATCTCATTCTACACCATCAGCATGGGCGACCTTGACAACCTCGCCTCGACCAAGCCATTGGTGTTCCTCTTGGATGACCTTCCAAGTGATGATGCTGAAAAAAAGAAAAAGAAGAAGAAAAAAGAGAAAAAGCTATCAGTGAACTACAAGAACTTTGGCGCACGTGTGAACGCCAACACTATGAAGCAATCGACTGCAATGACAGTGGGCTGGAGGTGCAGGCCGGTGGGGTTGAAACAAACCTTTACACCTTTAGGTTTGGAGTCAAGAATGTCCAGAATCCTTCAGACTACACTTGGCTAACCATTCGATGATCTTTTTGAACCCTCCTGGATTGGCCAGGATGGAAACCGCTGCTGGCTCTTCGGTTTTGACGCCTATTCGGCCAATAGCGTGCCTCACAGGCAGCCTTGAGATGAAACAGGAAGGGATTGTGAAACTTGCTTGAGAAGCTTTTTACTACCAGGTTGGGTGCATGATGGTGCATGAGTCAGATCTAAAGAACACTAAGACTAGACTATACACAAACGAACCTGGTCACGATGCTGCATAGGGTTCTACAAAGCATAGGGCAACAAACCTCTTCCGTGTTTAAAGATTGATCCTAGCGCCTCGGCATTCAACCACTGTTGGCAGTATGCTTCCAAACAGGTTGGGTAGTTTTGCTGATGAGCTGATGGTGGGTTTCACCGCCGCCACGTGCCACAAACCAGTCCCATCTTGAAGTCAAGTCTTGGTGTTGATCTTGTTGTACTGAACATTGAGGTTTAGTTGTTACTGTTGCTTCACCTCCTTCCCTGCTCGGCGCGGTGTGCACGCCTCGGCCTTTAGGGAGTCAATGAAGGACAATGGTCCTGACAAAGCGGACCAGCCAAGGTAAGAGATGTAGAAATCAAGAGTCAGTGAGTTGGATGATGTTGATCCAATGTCCAAGGTTGCAGTATCATGCGGTGCCAGGTTCGCACCTGGAATGTCATACGTTTGCGGTGTCACATGTTTCAGTTCATTATCACTACAGGCTCAAGGGTGGGAAAGCTTCTATTTGCACTGGGGCTGTTGAAGTTGCTACAATGCCCAAACATAACAGGGGTCGGGACGGTAGCAGCGACGATGACGTGCAAATCATTGAGAAGACCTTCAAGCCACCTGTGCCTGTGCTCAATCAGTAACTAGTTATCAAACGTCGTATCAAAGCATGTTTTAGCTGCATGGTGTCGTATGTCCATACCTGTGCCTTTGCTAAACCAACGTTTAACTAGTTGTCAACGTGTTTGTTAGCTGCATGGTGATGTATGTCCATAAGCAACAATCCCACCATTGACCCTGGCTCCAAGGATTTTGATTTGGCGGCAGTGATGGGAACGGGATCTTCCTCAACTCGGCCCTCAGCTCTTCGCCCCTCCCGTCCTTCTGCTGCATCAGCAAAACAATCGGTGTCTCCAGCAGCCTCTCCAGGCCTGCGCATAGAAACGCAAGAGTTTCAATTTGTTTCCAACCGTTTTGATTTGGTACAAAAAATATTGTCGATGGGTTGGTTTCAGGTGACCATGACTTGAAGTACAAGAAGCCTGCAAGAGTCGGCTCGTCGGAAGAAAGCTCACCGAGCACTGAGAAGAAGAACACTGACACCCCCCAGAATGAGAAGACGGTCGTCAACACTGGGAATGATGGAGCTGTTATGAAAAAACCAAGTGGGCGTTCCAAGGAGACCAAGGAAAAGAAACCAAAGAAACCAAAGAAGACCGATGAGAACGATGAGGATGAGGACCCATCAGATCCCCATCACAGGCCTCTTGGATCGGATGGTCGTGATGATGATGATGATTATGAAGAAGGTCCCGGTGATCTTTCGGGGCTTGAAGACTTGCTTGCATACAAAGATGCAAAACTTGGTGGGGCCCACAAAAAGCCAGCTGCCAAAGGTGCGAAGCCATCGCGAAACAAGCCATCAGGGCGTGGCGGTGGAAAGAAGAAAGACGAGGACCCAGCCCCAAGCTCCATGTAACACACCCACTGTGTAAAACTTGGCTGTTGAGCTCTTGACTCCTGACCAATCAATTGTTCTTGAAAGTTTGACTTTGGAGGAGCTACCCTTTCACCATATGATTGAAGGGACTACTGCATCCAACCAGCTGGAGGAAATGGGTACAGAGTGTATGAACGGCGTCCATACCTTTGAGGCCTTTGAGGGGGCCTTTGCAGACACCTTTGAGGACACGCTGCAGGACACGCTCAACACCACCACCAAGCAAAATGAGTATGACAAACCCATGGACATGGAGATAGCTGAGACAGCTCTTGATGAGGTTGAACCCGCGGGTGAAGCTGGTGAGGATGGATATCCTGACACTTCAGAGCCTACACCACCAACTGATTCTCCCGGTCGAGAAGGTGACAACGAAGAAAGGGATCTCCTAAGGCCTGAACATCAATAAGATTGTTTTTCATTTGCTTCAACCCGTGGCAAAAAATAGCGTGTCCAGCGTGTTCCCTCAATCTGAAGGACTTTGGCAAATTTGCGGCGCCGCATGGACCGGAAGGAGAAGTTGGAACGCAGTGATGGGATTAAAAGACCCCGTATCAATTTGGAGCCACTTGGATGATAGCCTACTGATGAGTCTTTTGTTGGCAACTTGCCCAATCACAATCATTCATCGTTGTGACAACGTCTGTGTGCCTTAGTTGTCTAAATTATGTGGAGTCTATATAGTGTGCATAAGGTCGGAGACCAGTTCAGATAATGGAGAAGTCCCGGACAACCAACTTGGTTTGAGCCCTACACCTCCACCAAAGCCAAAGTCAATGCCTGAAGCTTTGGCTTTGAGGAGCCCTAGGCCTGTCCCTGGTCAATGATTGATGCCAAACTCAATCTTGTCAACACATTCAACGTGAACACTTCAGATTCAAGAATCAAGACTTTTGATCAGTGGTCATTGTACGCCGGGCCCAAGGTATTGAGACGTTTGCGTCCTCTCTTCGACAATGTGGCTGACGGCCTGAATGAAGAAGGTGAAGAAGAGCATCGCACGGAGGCGCGCCCACATCATACAAAAAATAATTAAGAACAATCTGTCGTACAATGTTGATGTTCCTACACTCTGTCCTCTGTCCTACACTAGAGCAGACTATATATTTCTGAAAGGGGTGTTTGTCAATGTCAATCAGCCCAGGACCCTACGATTTCAACCAATGAGACTGAGCTTGAGGGTCGCATGGATGATGCATATGATGGAGATGGAGAACGACACAATCGCTCAAAGGACAATACCTAGCTGATGGTTTGCAAACAAACATGGCCTATTCTCGATTCTTTTTAGGGGACTATGACCTGGGACTCTTAGGAATGTATGTTCATGAAGTTGGTGGTTCTTCAAACCTAACAGCAGTTGATCCAGGACTCAGCTGCGATGGAACGCTCCATCACCCACTCAATGCCAGAGGGGTATGGGAACTCCTTGGGGCTGGTGATGGACATTGACTATGTGGAGGGTCATGAGGAACATGACTTTGTTTGCTTCGTGTTCTCCCTCATGGTCATCGCCAAATAGTAAAAATACATTGTTCTATATGTTGTGAGTGTGCTGTTACAGCATTGTGCTCTCAATGCAACCTCCAACTCTCAGGAACTGATTCCAACTCCTGAATCTGGTGCAGCATCCCCGACGGATATAGGGGCAGGCTTGGACGGGGAGATTGCGGAAGAGGATGCTGAGCGTGATTCAGAATCCAAGATGATTGGCGTTGGGGCCGCCAACAAGTTGATGGAACCAAAGCCCAAGATAAAGGCAAAGGCTAAGGCCAAGCCAGCAGGCAAGCCTTGTGCCAAGAAAGGAGGGGGGCCAAAGGCATCGCGCAAGGCAAAAGCGTCTCCCAAGAGCAA